GATAGTGCCCCTGTACTTGGCACTGGTGAGGCCGCACTTCGAGTACTGTGTTCAGTTTTGGGCCCCTCACTACAAGAAGGACATCAAGGGGCTGGAGCGTGTCCAGAGGAGGGCAATGAAGTTGGTGAAGGGTCTAGAGAACAGGTCTTATGAGGAGAGGCTAAGGGAGCTGGGGTTGTTTAGCCTGGAGAAGAGGAGGCTGAGGGGAGACCTTATTGCTCTCTACAACTACCTGAAAGGAGGTTGTAGTGAGGTGGGGGTTGGTCTCTTCTCCCTAGTAACAAGCGATAGGACGAGAGGAAACAGCCTCAAGCTGTGCCAGGGGAAGTTTAGGTTGGATATTAGGAAAAACTTCTTCACCGAAAGGGTAGTCAGGTACTGGAACAGGCTGCCCAGGGAAGTGGTTGAGTCTCCATCCCGGGAGGTATTTAAAAGAAGGGTAGACGTGGTGCTTGAGGACATGGTTTATTGGTGGACTTGGCAGTGCTAGGTTAACGGTTGGACTCGATGATCTTAAGGGTCTTTTCCAACCTCAATGGTTCTATGATTCTATGATATTCTGAACACTATCAAGTTAGCTAAAATAATCAAATATGCCTTTTCGAATAAAAGATATTAGTTGCTGGATCCGAATTCGATGGTTTTAATCAACATTCTTGATTATCCAAATTCTTATTGTTGTATATGCTTAACTGGACATTTCCTTTTAAAACTGCATTTTAAAAAAACAAAAAACTAACAAACCAGCAATTTAAAGTTTTATAGGGAAAGGATTCTTTCCAGATTGTACAGAAAAGCAGAATGTTTTGAAAAGTCTTTGCGTGGAGAAGCTCTCTGACAAGATGCAAGAGTATAAAAATACCAGTTACAGAAGTAGAAATGTGTCTTTTTTTTTTTATTTTCTTCTAGATTGATACAATGAAAGATAGTGTTGCTCACCTGTTGTATTGTAAAATGGGTTAGTGCATTTTATCAATGTATTTAAGAAAAAAAAAAAAAGCAGTATTGTTAAAATACTTTCTATTATATGAATAATTTATAGTCAGCATTTTCCCATGTAGTAAACACTAAAAACCCCAGATTTTTAAGACTCTGTAAATATCGCTGATGAGAAGAAATCCATTGCGGGGGCGCAGGGGGAAGGCAGTTAAGATTAGCCATTTGCTTAAAAGGATTTAACTGGACTGGTTAAAGTAGTCACGTGTTGTTTTGTAAATAATTTTTGTTTTGTTGAAGAGTAATCTCTCTTTTTGAAGATGATTCTGCAAGTACTAGGTTGCCATGGAAAATATTCCCTGAATGTGTCTGAAATTTGTGTGTTTTTCTTCTAAGCTTCACAATGAGGATGACCCCCCAGAGTCTTCAGCAGCTGAGCAGCCTTCCACGTCTACAGAGACTACGCAGACTCCCCAGACAGCAGCCTTATCTGAAGCAGATACTTCGCCTCCACCTTACTGTAGCATAGCTGTAGAAGCAGCTGCAACCTCAGGTATTTCTCCTACATAACAGCTTGTCAGGGAGGAGTGTGTATGAATCAGCACTTGGTTCAAAGTGGTACAATGCCATGGTATGTGGGGTTTTTGTTGGGTTTTTTTTTGTTTGTTTTTTTTTTTTTCCCCTACACACACAGTTGCAGTAAACAGCTATGCTTTCACGCACAGCCCTTTGGTTTATTCAGAAGAAGCACACTTCTAAATTACGCTGATTGGTCCAAATTACTAGACTAAATAGATGTTCGTTAATTAGTGTAATAGGTTTTGTTTAAGTCTGAGTGTAGTTCAGTTCCACATTTAATCTACATCTTTGAGTAGTGCTCCATTATTAGACCTCATTAGCAATTTTAGTTGCTTCTTTATAAAAAAAAAAAAAAACAACCAACCAACCAACAAAAAACCCCAAAACCCACCAAATCGCTGATTTGTCAAAACTCAAGCTTCTTAAATGTGTGCTATTGTTTGGTGAAAATATTGCCATGAAAAGATTAATTTTGCTTTAAAGGCTCTTGAACTTCTTGTGGAAAATGAGCAACAGAGGTCTTTGTCTCCATTTGTTCACTGCTCCCTTTCTCATGAGATTGTGACTTTCCTTTGGGGTATCGCAGACTTAACAGCAGGCAACATCGAAGTCCCTGTTTCAGCAAAGTTGCTTAGATTTACATCTTCCATGTGCCAAATAAATATTTTAGAAGTAAACTCCAACCTAATTTTTTTAATGTTGATTAAAGGAGCAATTTCCAGTCCCTGTTCTTTGAGACAGTGTTTGCAAGTATAATACATATATATAGGGATCATTCTGCATAGCTAACATCTTTGTGGTGGTGTGCTGACAAATCTTTTTACCATGTGACCTGTGCTGACAAATCTTTACCATGTAAGCAATCTTGTTACAAACTACTGCTGGCTGTAGGAGGAAGCTCAAGGTGCATTTTAAATAGTTTTTATTAATTTTGTTAATTCTATTCTGTATGATGGTGTTTTACTATTTCAATAGGTAAGAATGAAGTCTGTGGTCCATTTTGATAGAAGGAACATTTTTAAAAGGATGTGGTGAAACTGAAATCTTGGAAAAACTGATTTTCACAGAACTGGAGTTGGCAACAAGGCCATGCTAATAAAAATACAGCATGATTATTACTGGACTTAAGTAACTAATTGATATTGTAAGAACTTTTTTTAGGATGTTTCTGTGCATGTTTTTTATATGATTTGATAAAAAGCCTTTGGTTGGAATGCCTAGGGATGTAACTCAGCAACTATGTTTTTTTGTTCATAAATTTGTTGGCTCCTTGCAGCATCTAGGTTAAGGTTTCCACCTGGAGTAGCAACTAAAAGCATCATCAAGCTGTTCACTATTTTATTTTATAAAAATAAAGTTTTTTGTTAAACTTACAAGAACTTGAAATACAAATATCATCAATTTCAGCCTCTGTTGAAAAAAGTGTACTTTAAAGCTCAATAGTTACATGCATGTAAAATTTAATATTCTTGACATCTTTCTGGCTTAAAAATGCATAACCTCTTTATTTTGAACAGAAACACACAATGAATTTTATCCTGTACCACCTCCATACAGTGTAGCTACCTCTCTTCCTACTTATGATGAAGCAGAGAAGGCCAAAGCTGCAGCAATGGCAGCTGCTGCAGCAGAAGTTGCCCAACGAGTAAGTGATATAGTTCTGCTTTATTTCAATTTTGTGAAACATGTTACACTAATATAATTATTTATAGCAATTGGGCCCCTATTATGGCCTATTTATTAAAATAATGGTGGGCTGGTGATTTAAATATTTTGGATGCTTAGGTTTTGTATAGATAGTGTAAGTTAGTTCTAAAGTACTATGAAAAGCGTATCATATTCACTCTTTTCTGAGGCATAGCTGCTGTCTAAATAGCTTTAAAAGCCAAATGTTGCCCTGTTTTAATAGTTTGCCCAGTATTTTGTCATCTTTTAATTAGGTATGCACTACTAATGTTACTTTGTAGAGTTATTGCTGGTATTTAGTGCTTCAGATGGTAAAAAAAAAATAATTAATGAACAAAGTAGACCTTTAGAGAGGAAGAATTCCAACAGTCTGGAAGGGGTAAACCCCCAAATAATGTTGATCTTTTTTAAAAGGAAAGGTCCCTGTTTGCTCCATGAAAACTTTAATACTGAAGTTCAAAGAAATGTTCCAAGTACTTAAACAAAAAACACCCACACCACGAGTTATGGTAAACAGTAAATTAAGTAATAGGTATAGATTCAGAGTTTATAGTTTTGTAAGAATTAACATTATAAAGAATACAGTCTTCCAAATAGAAAATTCATATCTGCAATTAGTGTTAAATGTTATTTTTGTAAGCAAAGTTCTTCCTTTGTTTTCCTCCCAAGTTCTGGACTGTGGAAATTCTGCTGTTTGATAGTATTGGCCATAATATACTATACCCAAATTAGGCTTCCAGTGCTTTTACTAAAAATCTCCATCTTGAGAATGTGATTGCATTTGAGATGTATTTAAAATCTTACCACTGCAGCATGCTTGTGACTGGAAAAAAATTCTGCTCACCCAGCGGGAGGCTGTTCCTTCCCTGACTACTGTGCAGCCAGTCACAGTGCACAGTACTCACTGTAAGGTATGCACAGCTAAAGTTAAAGTGGATTTGTGTAACACCGACAGTGAAGGTGTTACAGAAATCTGTTGTACTAAATGCAGTAGGGAACCAGGGACATTTGAATGGTTACTTGCCAAGTTTCTGCTATGAGGTGATGTCCGGTTGTAAACTTCTGACTGCTTTAAACAGGAGCATGGATTCCACATAGTCTGTCCTTACTGCTTGTCATTTAAGTAAAACTTTGCTGAAATACTGGTCTGAATGAAACCCTCAATCTGAAATTATAAACCTTTAAACTTACTTGGAACAATAGCAACCCAAACCTTAACTTTTAGGGTACCATTACCAGTTCTGTGACAGCTCAGACATGTGCAACTCCTTTGCAAAATTCTTGTTGCTTTTAACTTTGTATGTCTAGAACGCTATGAAGTGAAAGTTTCAAATATACAGCCAGTCTTCTTTGACCTGAATTTCACAGGGAAAACCTCCGGCTGGAGTTTAGTCAATTTCAAGAATAAAGCTAAGCAAAAAACCAACCAACCAACCAAACAAAAAAACCCCAACAACCCAAAAAACAAAAAACCAAAACAAAAAAAAAAAAAAAAACAAACCAACCAAAAAACCAGTGTTTTTTGCTGGTCATTTTAAGCTTTTTTTAACTTTGGAGAATTCTTTCTCACAAGTTCACGTCACCGTGTCAGAAACATCTTTTGCCTTTCCTCAGAAAATCTGCCTGGTTTTGACTAAATTACAAGTTTTTGCAAAATGAGTTTCCGCAGTTGATACATACAGCTTCAAATTTAGTAAATGTGTGGAGATTGTCTTGCATGAACAATTTGAGACTGCTTATAGCTCTGAAGAGGATGGGACTGCAGCTATGCTCTCCCCAGAGAACATTCTCAAATGTTCTGTATCATTAGTATTACAGGACTAAAAGTAGATACACCTTATGGCTACCCTTGACTGCTTTTGGTGAAAACACTGGAACTGAGAAACAAGAATTTCTGGTGTGCCCTGTAGTAGTTTTATTATTCTTGGCCTTCGGTTAGAAGGGAAGGGGAAAGCCACTTGGTTCAATTGCAAGGACATCAATGGTAGGTGGAGGGAAGAAGGACAATGACTCTGAGCCTCTGAAGCTTATGTGTTGTGGGAAGAGAAGTCTGGTTTTGGTTGGGCAAGGAGGTAACTGACTCAAAGTGAACACAGGCAGGGATCTGAGAGGATGGGTCTAAGTGAAAATAAGAAAAGGCAAGGGTGAATGGAGAGCAGTGGTGTGGAGGGAATACAGAGACATTTTAAATGAGAAGCAGGAGGGAGAAGGATAAACTGGGACTGGTGGAGAAAGGAACCCAAGTGGGGATAAAATGTGGTACTGGGAAAGGATCTGAAGCTGGTGTGTGAGAAAAGAGGAGTAGGGAGGGAGAAGGAATCTGGACTTAAGAGGTAGGAGAGCAGGATATGGTGACAAAATGAGAAATAAACTTTTATGTAGTCTGCTTTTCCAAAATATACAGGAGAATTTGACATTCAAGAACTAGGTGCTGACACCACAAGAATTTCACTTACGAAAAATCAGTAGGAACACACCATCATTCCCCCAAAGCAGATTGGCTAGAAAGTTGTAGAGTTACGGCAGTACTAAGTTAGTATCAGAACTCTACTCAGTGTACCTAAAAGGCACAGTCCCGTTGACTGCTAAAGATCTCATTTGATAAAATTTCTGCTCAGTTTGCTTCTGTGTTTTTTGGCTTTTTTTCTTTTTTTTTTTAAAGCACACACACGCACACACACAAGCTATATTAAAGAAACAGTATTAAGGTTGCAAAGTTGAGATTTGGGGAAAAAGTAGGAAATGCTGAAGTTGAGTTCTGGTTTTGTAGATGATATTAAAATTATGTGCCAGTGCAGTTTTAATTAATGCCATTTTAATTACCTTATCACGTGATACTGCCACAAAATCCCTGCCTTATTTAATACCTCTGATGGACTTACACTGGGGTGGACTAAGACTGTGTAATAAGACTGTCTTAATCTGGCAGATGGCTGGAATAAGGAAAGAAGGTCATGTTATGGTTAGAGTGGTGGTTTGCCATCTTGAGGGGAAGGATTGTGATCCTTAGCTCTGAATACCAGGGGAAGAACAGATAAGTGACTTAAACTTTGCACTACTGGTATGTAGTTAATTGTTTTCTCACTTTCACTGTCTTGGAGATTGCAAGCAGTGACAGTTGCAGACAGTATCTGACTTGTATATTGCACATTTTGCAAAACATACACAAATGATATAACACGTAATTTTTTCAGTTTTTATTTTCAGCCTTATGAAATTAGTGCTCTTATGAATGTGAACTCTGCTATGATCTGTGCCTCTAGTTTCTTCCTTGTAAAATGAGAATATATTGCCTCTTCACTACAATAATGTGAACAGTTGGAAAAATCTCAATATCCTTATGTTACCTTGAGTGACACATGAAGCTGATAATGGTATAGTCCAAAGTATGCAGTAAAGAAGGCTACAAACCTACTCATTGAGCAAAAGAGGGGAAAATGGTATAAAAAAGCAGCACACTTAATAAACAGCTTTCATATTTTTTTTTCCCTGAATCATGTAGGGATCTTACAAAAAACATTAGTGTGATCATATTAAAGATTTCATCTGTATCCACAGATTGTACGAACAATCTAAACTTAAGTACTGAAAGTTTCAGTAAATGTTGTTTGGTAGTTCCTTGTGTAGCTTGCTTTACAAGAATAAATTGTGTACAAACATTTAGTGCTCCCCGATAGCTCCATGTATCAAAGAAATTGTAGCAGCCCTATGTCATCAGTAATGATAGCATTAGTTACCCTGGCTTTTGATGTTTTCCTTTTCAAATTCTCAAGGTCAGTTTTGAAAGGTCAATTTAAACGAACAAAACTATTGCTAACAGTTAAATGACTTGTTTGTATGTTGCAATGAATGGCTTTTACTTAATGCTTTTCAGTTGCATTTGTCTTACGTTCTTCTGTTTTTACATGCTTAGCACGCCCAGTTTAGGGAGTCTAGGAGTCTGTTTGATGAAATATTCCTCAGTCGTCCAGAGGTATGGTATAGTTCTCTCTAGTTTAGACTTTAACTATGAATTTTCCTGCTGGCAAACAAATGCTTCTGGGGTTCGTTGTGCCTTTTTTTCCCCCACCATTAACTTGTCCATATTGTTTCGTATGCTGAAGATATCACATATGGGGTTTATTAAGTAATTTGTCCCTTTCCTCAGAAGTTTTTCTCCATAAATCCACTGCATTGAGAAGAGTTATATCAGTTTAGTTATCCAAGGGGTTCCTGAAAACTGGGATTCTTTACTTGATTAAAGGTGGTTGCCTCACTATATGCCATGCTAAGTTTCAATTTGAAAGAAGATAAAAAGCATCGGGGGGGGAAAAACAGTCCTCTTTTTGCAGAATACTACAGAGAGCACTGTAGTTTCAGAGAAGTTAATAGGTTTGACTTCAAGAGATGCTGTGTACCATTCGATGTTCTTTCGCTTAGAGAAATTACTCTCTGTGACATGCCATTTATGTTGATAATATGTTTTGCTGTGTAAGTGTTTCACTGGTCATAGGAACAGTAAGTTTTCTGTTTATACAGATCTCAGCATATTTAGAAAACAAGAAGTATTGTCTGTGATTCTTAACATGGCTAAATTTGTCAAAAATGAATATGAGATACTGAAACAGTATTATATATTTTATGGATATGTGTGTGTTGTTATTTTACGTTCTTCTCATGAAAAATAAAATATATATATATAAAAATAAAATATATAATTATTCTTATTGATAAAAATGTCAATATCTAATAGAAGTGTTAGTATGAAATTACGTTTAGTTCTAAGCATCAGCAGAGAGGACAGTTATTCTGCATTGTCCCTTTTCGTTCCTCAACGAATGGTTGAATGGCAAACAATTACAGTTTGAAGAAAGACTGGGGCAGTTGACACCAACTAGATCAAATGAGAGCACTGTGAAGGACAGCCAGTATTAGTGGGTCTTGAGCAGTGGCCAATAAGTGTCTTCTGTCTGCAGGACTGATTGTAAAACTACATAATACTAAATAATGTAGATATAGGCTGAATGTGATTTAAGCGCAGGAAACTATTTCATTTCTTAAACATTCTGTTAGTTTTCATATGCCAATTTTTGGAGACAGTAAATAGAACTCAATTTAATGTAATTCCCTTTTGACACAGAGTGTAACAAATTACAATTTGTTCACACTTTTTACAACAGTGCCTGCTTGCAGATGTCTGCTCACATGTCCCTGGGTTGTGTATTGACCTGTGTTTCTCACATGTGTAAGCCTTAGAGAAGCCTGTGCATATAGAGAAACCTGCTAAACTTGTTATTGTAGTTGAGCAAAATTTTCTTTTTCTGAAGCAACCTTTTGCATAGAGTGTAATTCACTAATTGGTTTGGAAATGCCAGTGTGAAGTGCAGTAGTTAGCAGACAGTTTAAAAAAAAAGCCCAAGAGTTATTTTATATAGGGTTTTATAGACCTTCTGAGATTACAATTGAAAGTAATTTTTGTTGTTCTAACTTGAAAAAAGGAACTTTTGTGGCATACGTTTCAGAGATGAGCACATTCAAATGCATCTCTTGGTTTAATGCATTTTCAGCCCTTCCTTCCCTTCCCTCCCCCCATCAGTCTTGTAGCTGCAGCAAAGTTGAGCTAAATAAACTAATGGTTTCACAGTCACTTAAGATGACCATTTAGGGACATCTGAAATTATGTAGAGTTGGATTATAGCCCCTTAAGATTGTTATTCAACTAGCTTTTTATGCTTTCCTTGGTATTGTCTAGGTGAATAGCAGTGTTTTCGAAGTAAGTTATCTGATAGAGAGTCTTAGTTAATCTGAAAAAAAAAGAGCACAGCTGGAATTTCATGGCCGTGTTATAAAGGGTGAAGCTGGCTGCCTTGAGTTGGTACAGTTTGTTCTAGCACATTTTTAACCATAATCGCTATACCCTGGTAAATAATTTTGCTGTGTTGACAAAGGTTAACATGTCAATCACATGACAGAGCTTTAGATCACTGTGATTGTTTAATAGTCTTTTAGCGATGAACTTAATAAACAAAATAACATTTGGTACAGCAGCTGAATAATGTGTTAAAATCAGAATTACGTTATTTCAGTAGTAAGTGTTTGCTGTGGGTGAAACAGCTAAGTAAATCTCACTTGACTGATCTCCATTGATTTCATTTTTTTTAATAGATCATTTCTTATCTCAATTCTAATACGTTATGATTAATTGGAGAAAAAATAGGAAAAGAATGTCACTCATGCTATGTCTGGACCATGTCTATGCCTAGACCATATTGCTGCTGCTACTGATGGCATTATTTAACTTGTATCATCCTGCTTTGTTTTGATGTTATTCATTTAAGTATAAAAATGATGTGTTTAACTGGTTTTACAGTTTTAATCAGGCTGTCTTTAGTACGTGCTGTCATCATGAAAACTTTCACATTTGCCAGTCTACAGTTGCAGCAGTTTTACTCGTGCACAGAACTGCATCCGTAAGATCTGCCAGGTTCTGTACTCAAGTACTGAGAAACAAAACAAACTCACACTTTCAGTATTTTAAGATCTAGTATTTTGGCACGGTGGAAGAAATCTTTGGATCGTTTTGACCGAGATCTCTGTTTACTTTTGTTTGACTTAAAGTGCTGTGCTTTTTGAGTTTAGAAGACTTTCAAACACTTTTAATGTGCTCGCGCCCTCTAGGGTCCCCGGAGGTTTTCTTTGCTTTGCATATGTTTTCCTGTGGGTTATAGAATAGTCAAATTGGTTAGTGCAATGCTGTTGCATCAGCAATTTATTTTAAGATACTAAGCTTATTCTAAAACTTTATATTTTGGGAAGCATTAAAAGACTTTTCTGGCAGGAAAAAAATAGAACATAGTATGTAATGATTTTTTCAAAAAAATATTTAATAGCTTGGCTGCATATCCAGATAGTTACAGTAAAAAAAGAGATTTCTGTTGGTTTTGATTGTCAAAGTACTCATCTGAAATTATTTCTAGCTTCATTTAAGATGAATAGGCAGCATGTACATATCTTTTACAGAAACTTTTCAGTTAAAGTGGGGCAACAAGTAAGAGTTGTTTTATATTATTTTTCTTTTAAACTTCCTTGATGTGGACGTGTTACAGAAATGTCAATTTTCTTCTAGCTTTAGAAACATAATTAATACTTTAATCCTACATATAGTTATTCTAAAATAAACTTTTTACTAATTTATCACTAACCTGTAAATCCAGGAAGAAGAGTATCCACCACGGGATGATTTCAGTGATGCAGATCAGCTTAGAGTGGGCAATGATGGCATCTTCATGTTGGCATTTTTCAGTAAGTTATCTTGTATCCCAGACCTACTGAGGTATATCTTAATTGTACCTTTTTTCTATGGAATATAAAAGATAGCTGGTGATAAACTGCATTAATGTACTGAAATGAATGGATTTTTTACCTGTACACAGATATAAACACTTATGTTCCAGATGTAGCAAATACGTTGCACTTTTTCTTCTGTGGCATCTGTCACAGATAAAGGGACAAAGCAAAATCATAGTAAATGTTTTGAGGCATAGCAAGGCTGCACTGTTAACTGTGAATTGGGAAATTCTGTCATCTTCTAGTTGGACTACCAACTTGAATTAAAGGCTGGATCACAGAAATCTGGCAATCATTTTTAAGTAGAACAAATTTGAGAGAGAGATGATAAACCGTATAAAAGTTGCTGATGTTAGCACAGTGAATTAAATAGCTGTGGGTGGATTTTTGGAACAAATCCAACAACATGTACTGTCTTCAGGTAACGTCTGACTGCAACCAGCACTACTATAGCACTTCTTCAGGTACTGTGTGTGTGTGCACTGTGCATATGTCTTATCTTGTAACTTACGTACTGCACTGAGTAAAGTTAGATTTAGCCACTATAAGTTACTTCTAGAAAGAAGCTGCTTCTATTTTGCCAATTGCATATTTCTTTCTAATTTCTGAGGATATTTTTCCTTTCTGAAATAAATGTGTTTGGCAGCCTGGATGAAAGCTTGGTGTTGGGGATCTAGCTGTTCTTTTTAGCATTCATCAGGATGAAAGGTGATTGATTAGCCACTGAAATATCCTTTTTATGTCTTGCAACCTAGATCTCATCTTAGTTCTGTTTTCTTTAATGTCTTTCACAGTCTCTTTATTTAACTGTTACAGATGCAGGTTACAGAACTTCACAGAAGTTTTTTTCATGTCAGTGTATGATGTACTAGGACAATGTGGTGTTTGCATCTTGGGATAAAAATGTGTCTACCTCACATAGCAAATATATATATCCATATATAGGGTAACAAAGTGAGTTTTGTAGTCTGACCTCTTTCTGTAGTTGGACCATAGAAAGGGTATATATTCTTGGGGGCAAAAGGGGGATGACTTAATTTTTCTTTTTTCCGTTTTTCCCTTTCCCTATGTGCTACAACTTTTTGTATTTAACCTATTTGGGTTCTGTATTGTGTGAACTTGTTCTTGCTTTTAAATCCTGGTTCAGGCCTTCATTAGCACTGCACTTGGAGGTCAAGTGGATTGTTGGCTCTAATATGTTTTAAGTCCTTAAAATCACAGCTGAAAACAGACTTGTTAGCTTGCAGCTAGCAGCAGAGTAGTAGTAAAAATCCTGATATGCAGAAGATGAACTGGAATCAAAAGCTCCAGAAAGGCTCCAATGATGTTCGCATGCAGTTGGCCAAAACTGTATGCCCTGCATCTTGCGTGCACCTTCAAGAATGCAGACGTTTACTTGGATAAACTGGTAACTTTCTCTTGAAATAGCTGTTTAGCTGAGACTGACTGCACAGAGCACTACTTTACACATTTGACAAAAATACTCTGTAGATCATAATTTTTCCTGATTATTCTGAGACTATGTTACTGCCAACTTTGCTCGTCTATGAATGAAATGTATAAAATGAGTGCTTACACATTGCAAGATATTTATGCAAGTGTATGCTTATTATCTGTGTTGGCTGTTATGGATACCAGTTACGTATGGAAATTGATAAAGCGTACCTGTTTGTGTTCATAGTATGAGGAGTTCACTAAAACTCAGAGCATTTATAGACCTCTAATATTAATTTTCAGTATTTTTTCTTAGGGAAATGGGAGAACTAACTGAAAAATGAGCTTAACTTAATAAGGGTAGATCATAAATAGCGGGTGGTGTATTCTTGTCCCTCTAATAAGGAGATAAAAGTCTCCATAAAGTTGATGTATGTAGATTTAAGAGAGCAGGAATTAAAATTAAATTTACAGCATGGCTATCTTTTGTTTTTTTTCAGGGCGGGATATGTTTAAATGCTGCAAGTAGAGGTGGCAGATCATAGAGAGCCTGGAATAATTTCCCTCACTTAGTTAAAAGGCAGGAGAACAGTGTCAGGAACTGCGCTCTAGTGAGAGGAGCATGGAACAAATGGCTTGTTCCAGGTGTGCTCTCCCACCTCCTCCTGTGACCGTTATGTACAGCGTTGGTAGAGGGATCTTGGGGGGGGAAGGGGGCAGGCTGCCTGTTTTAAATATAAAACAGTGAAGTTAGCTTTTTAAATTTCATTTAATTCAACTGAAGTGTAATAAACTTTTTACTGAGCTTGCCTGCATATTGCAATCAACTAGTGATATGTAGCTACCATCTAGTGGTAGCTGCCCAAGTTGCATAAAATTGCTGTCTTGAGGCCATCTAGTGGCCAGATCTGTTTGTTTGGGGTTTTTGTTTGTTTTAGGAGCTTGGTGCATGCAACTTACAAACCTGTTTCCCCTCTGAGTTGTAAGATACTGTTCTTCATGTTTATGTTTAGTTATGTTTAACATAACTAAATAGAATGAGACAATATACTCTAAAGAATACAAGTCCTTTGCGTGAACAGGTGGGTTTTTTAATTTAGCTCTTCATTCAGAAACTTAAGTGGAAAAATTTGGAAAACAACCTATTTTATTCCTAGTATGTGGTAAAGTCATATGTTTTAAGAAATTGGTTTTGCTGTTGAAATTTGTGATTATGTTGGTGGGCAAAGAATCTGCTCTTTAATGGTCAGGGCTGGTGTTTGTCAATTTCTGATTTTGAGGTAAATTAATATATTAGCGAATATATTCATTTTGCTATGAATGCGAAATGCAGCAAATTTTGCTATCAGACCATTTAATATATTTTTTTCTATTATGTATTTTTAAGTCATCTGTGCCTTATACAGCATAGTAGAAACTTTTCAGAATGCCAGAGGAATTTAATAGGTGAGTTTCTCAGTGATTATTTTTTTTTTTTTATGTGCACAACAAAAAGGAGGAATTTCTGAGCTGTTTCTTTCCATTTTGAACACAGCTGTAATGGTGATAGAGCAAGTAACTGTCATGACCCTTTCAGTTTGATTTTCATGCTTAGTCTGCTCATAGTGGAAGTCTTTTGAATCATGTCTGATTGGCTCATCCTGGTTCATTATGTGAAGGAGGTCGTTTTGGGCAGTAATAAAAGGCTTATATGGTTTTGCCTTATATTTAAGGAGTGCTTTAGAAATATCAACCAGCCTTTTTACCTGTGGGCCCCAGAAGGAATTGCGGAACTCATCTGGATTCTTTGAAACCATGGAAGGGAGTTTTGGGTTGTCCCTACAACCTAGGAAAAATAAATATTAATTTGAACCTCATGGATGTGTTAATAAGGAGGAAGAAATGGAGAAGAGTGTTCAATCATACAGCTGAAGTTTAAGTTCTCATATAGAGATCTGATTTGTTCTTTAACAACATCTGGACAATTTAAACACTGTGTACAGCTCACACCAATAAAATCTCATGATGTGTAGAAATGTAAATGTACATATTCTCCCAGGTGCTGTATTGGAACAGATAATAACCGTACCAGAATTTTGTAAACTGATATTCATACAGTTTTCAAAGCTCTTAGATGCTTCAAACAGTCAATAAACTGTGCACAAGCTAGGATATCTACTTAGGGGGGTTTCAAGCGGACATAAGTTGGAAGGCAGAGTTGTAGCACAAGCTCCTCAGGGTGAGCACAGCCTCCTGCTGTATGCTTCCCAAGGGGTGGTAAGCATGGTCTAAATTTCCAGTGGAAGGATTCCTCTGTGTGAGTTTAGGAAACCTGACTTCTGTATGTCCACATGACAAATGTTATGCAGGTTTTCCTTAGTCATGCAAGAGAAGCTGAGGGGAAGTCATTTGACTGATATTGCAAGTGTTGGAAGGAGATAAAGGAACTGGTTTGGGAGTGCTTATTTTTCTCTGGTTATCAGGGGAGCCTGGATGACCTTCATACACAATCACCTAACTTCTTTCTTAATATAGAAAGAATTTGACTTACATGGTTTCTCTGTACATGTTGGATATAATGCAAAATAATTGGAGTGAGGAAGCTGCTAGTTGGGCGTTAATTAAAATTTATCAACAAGGGTAATGAAGCAGTAGAAATAAATTGCCTAGGGAAGTTTTTGAACATTCATCACCGAGTAGCTAAAAAAAAAAAATTGTCTGTTGAAGTTGATAGCAAATGCTTCTAGTGATCATCATTAGACTTCCAGTGAGCCCTTCGGGAAGGAGCAAAAATGTGTCCCAGTTCAAGAATGGAATAAATTGTATGCAGGAATGGGAAAAATAATTTCTATTGGTGCGTGAAGATCTGGAAAGTATTATTTATTGTAGTATGCTTAGTGAACCTAGGCCAGGTATGAAACTTTAAGCTCTTTGGTGTTTGCTGTATATTAAAGTAATAAGTCATTGGACAAACAAATCATGGAATAAAGGATGTAACTGAGCATGGTTGCTTTTTGTGTATATAGTTGCCATTATAATCTTATCACAGGCTTGAGCCATGGTTAAAATTTGGAACCAACATAGGTCTTCAGACAAGTTTTGCCGGCTTCTTTTCACGGTACTGAATGTAAGCTTAAGGCAAGTGATTAATGTGTAGCTGTGGAAAGCTAAGTTAAAAAGATCAGCAAGTGAAGTGCAAGAACAATTGAGGAAAAAGCAGATTTGTTCTAGTAAGCTTGTCATTGTTGCATCCTCTGATATATTGTGATATGTACAACTCAAAACCTTTGCACAAGATAGCTTAATAACTTGAAAAAACTAAGTTTTCTTTGTTTACTGTAAATTGTGGGAGTAGAATGAAAGGATGTGTCAATATTGCTTTGCAACTTAATGAGCACTGAGAAAAAGTAAGCATGGATTAATAAATTATTAACAACAAAGTACAGCTTCATACATCATCTTTGCCTTGCCCCTGTAGTTATTGGAGAATGAAGAATGGCAATGGATACAAGCTTGTTTGTCAAAACCAAGTTGAATTCTTTTACCCCAGCTTGCCAATAGGTAAAAGACTTTTGATTTCTAACTTTAATTTTTGATATGAAAATCCTATGCTGACCACTGCCCTTAGAAGAGGACTTTGGGTGTGGAAATAGCTGATGGATAGCTTTATTTTGCATGTCAGATTCCAAGACTTTTACAACATTCAGAACATCCTGTGCTTTGTATTTTTCCTGGGATTATCTTACTGCAAACCATAAAGAGAAATACAAGTATAACATAATTGTTGTGGGCACTACATTGGACATCAAGAAGACTTTATTAAAAAAGACCTTTAGTCCAACCCTCCTCCTCCCAAAAAGCAGCTTCTTAGCTGTTTTTCATTATTAGTTTTGTTGTCATGAGGAAATAACTCTAATGGTTATATTCTTTTTACATGAATTCCGTTAATATAGACTTACTTTCTCCTCTTGTTGGCATTTCAGGAATGTATAAAACGCAGAAATCTTACTTTTATCAGTCTCACTTGTCTGTATGGTGTTAGAGTAGCAAAGAAAGAGGCTGAAGTCATGATGCCGGCGCAGTCAGTGTGAGTTTCGTCTAAATGTCTGAAATTTATTAAAAGAAAGAGGACAATAGTTGAAACTTGGGCTCAAGTATAAATCCAAATGCTAGCGATCTCTGGGATAGGAAACAATTCTTGCAGAGTGGTTAGTCTTGCAGTGGGAGTCTAGAAGATGAACACAGAACCTGGCTGCTTGAAGAGGATGGGCAAACAGAAGTTAAGAATGCTTTTTTAGTTAAAACCATGATGTGGTGGTAGCAGGCTGTTAGACTTTCTATCTCATTTTTGGGAATGGCTTGCTTTGTTACGGTAGTATGTATTAGTGTCAGACCAGGAACATTGTCTGTATGAGAATGTCATGGGAAGCTGAAGCAGTATGAAGGACAAGGTCATCTCTTCAACTGCTGAGCAGTGTCATTTACATTTCACCAAGTGAGCGGATGCAGGCAAATAGTGGAGGGTTGCATTTGTTGCAGCACGAAGCTCGTGCAACGACTTAGTTGTCTCTATTTACTAGATAGAGAAGGAAGTAGATACATCTAGAGCAAACAGTAGATGCTTCCTTTTACTAGTCTGTCCCTTCACCATTGTATTGTCTTTCTCAGCTTGGTGGAGAAACTTGTGCTGTGACTTCTCTAAGGCAATATAGGGATGAAAATTATGAACAACTTTTATTGCAATAATTAGGTGAGGCAGGAATTATACAGGAAATAATGTTAGTAACACTTAAGCAGATGCAGTGTGGGCCACAAAGCTCAAACTCGCATGACTGGCAGAAGATATACATGGAAATCATCATGGAAAAAGATAGATAGGTAGGTGAGGATAATCTTGGTGTGGAGAAAAATAATTGGAAGATTAAATAACAAGATTTTTCTTCTGTATATAGTCCAATTTTATTGGGGTATGTGAACTTGTATAGTTTACGACATTTGTATAGTTTATGCCTTTTCTTTCCCACTTGCATTGTCTGCTTATATAAATTGATGGAACAGCACACTGATTAAAGGAAAAAAGCTATTGTGAACAACATAGGAACATGCTGATGCCTTCGTTTTCAGGAGTTGGGCAAAAAACTTTGTGTTAAATATCCACCTAATACTCATTCAGTGACTGTGGATTCTATTTTGAATATTCCTTTAAGTCAAATTGAAAGGAGGGTAAAATTGTCACTGTGTTCAACTTTGATTATGAGAACTAATTTTTTCCCCCTCCTGTATTTATGATTGGGAAATGTCTAATTTTTATAAAGCACGTACAAATTAGTTCAGGTGTTATAAAAATTCTTATTTTTTAATATATACCTATTAAAATTTTAGGTTTTCTGGGAATTCCTCTAGTCTGCGTAGTCCATTGGAAACATGTCTATCTTCTGTCCTTTTTTGTCACCCTTTGTAGCTTGAGTAGTGGGGAGAAAGGGAGAGAGCAGTAAGCTGTTACGCTGAGACAGGAACAGAGATGCGTTGAAGAACTGGCTTCTGAAATCTGGTACCCTTAAAAGTACAGTGGATTTGGAGAGCTTGCTTAACATAGGGAAATCCTGTTTTCAAAACGATGTATGCAAGCTTTCTCAAATGTAAATGCTTTTCTTGTGTTTTGGAAAGATAGGTAAATGTTAGGGTTACAACATTGTTCTTATGTAATAGTAATGCTTTCTCTTTTTTTTTTTTTTTTTTTCTTCTCTGCTTATAGCAATTTGGATCAGCATTTATTATTCAAAGTTGTTTGTTGTGTTTTTTGGTTTGGTGATTTGGGTTTTTTTGTGTTTTAAGATTAGTAATTAGCATAAAAGTAAGCTTTCTCATTGCCACCATCTGTTACCTACGGCTTTGTCCAAGGCAAGATGTTTTCTCACTTGTACAAAATGACTGTGTTGATGTAAAGTTTTCCAAAACTTCTCTTGGAACTTCAATTTCTTTGCAGTTCATGGAATCCCACTTCAGTTTTACAGACTAATTTTGTATTTGTGGGCAAATCATTGCATCTTTATGTGGATTGTTGGAGGAGTTGTAACAAGGTTTTAAATTACAAAAAAAGTGGTTGTTTATAGATAACCCTCCCAAACGGACTTTTATTTATGAAAACTATTGAGCAATTTTCTGTTCCTAATGTTTCACTATAAGTGTTCAAACTTTTACTGAAAAGACAGACTTTTTTTTCTGTGGTGATTTAATGTGTGAATTTTCTGTGGGTTTTGTTTTTTCCCTAAGTGTGGGGATTTAAAACATTAAGGATTTGTGTGCAGGGGTTTTGTTCCCCT